GTATAAAACTGAACAAAGGAAAATTCAGGTCAGGTTTACTGATGTAGCTGATAACAGTAGCTATTCACTTTTCGCCTATCTGAAACTGTAAAGTTATCACATCAAAAGGGAAAGTAACCAGAATCCGATGAAAGCGGCATAACTAATGTTATTAAAAACTAATACTTGGTGGAAATCTCGCTTGCCGTTCAGAAGCAGTTGTAGTTAAATTAACCTGTGTGAGATGTCAGTTAAAAGTGCTACGAGTCCTGTGAAATATCATAATCTAAAATATATACACATCGACTTAATAAGCGTGCTTGATCAGACAGGCATGTCACCGAAGTCGTTGAGCAGAAAGCATGAGCTTCAAGTGGCTTCAGAGTATAAGGCAAAAAAATGTTAATGCTTTATTATTATGCCAACTGCACCTCGAACGCTCCAATTTTACGCACGTTTCATTTACTTCTTTATTACCATTACCATTACCAAATGAATCCAACGTAAAGCTGTTGTCGAATGAGCTGTATTCTGTGTAAAATAAGTCGTCGCGACCACAGTTTTCTTGTAGTACCCAAACTAGCGTTGTTAACCTTCTGTTATTTAATTTGCATTTGCACTCATATCAAACTATGGTTTATACATCATTCTTTGTTTTAGCTGGAAAACGAAGTAGCGCACATTTCCATGTGTTTTACGTTGTTGACCACATTTTAATAGGAAAAAGACATCATGATTAGCTGTACTGGTTCTGAAGACATATATTACACGTCTGGTGCATATGCATCCAACTACGATACGCTGGAGCACATAGGCAGCGGTGCTTTTGGTTGTGTGAAGTTGTCAGCCCGTAGAAGTGACGGCCTTCTGGTGAATGACTTTCGACGCATCGTGGTGTTTACGTTTGACGTTGGCTTTATTTGCAGGTTGTGACAAAGTTTATTCGCAAGGATCGCGTGCTCGAAGGCGGATGGACTAACGACAAGCAGTACGGCAGGATTCCGACAGAAATCAATTTGCTCCTGGGCTTGGATCATCCAAACATCATAAAGGCAAATGTTGGACGAGTTTTACGTTTATTCTTTGTCTGGCGAAGGTCAGTTAGATGATATCTGGCATATGGCCCATCGGTATAAACTCGGTGTACCGGCGGTTACAGAAGCTTTTCTCCCGGGGAGGGGTCGCTTAACCTGCAGAATGGGTGATCATTTTGAAGGTCAGGCCAAAGAGGGTTGCACCCTGCCGATATGGATTTTTTGTCCCCTAGGGTAATCCGGGCAGTCATTTCGATGAAACAAGCGTCAAAAAGAGTCCTGGTTTGGCGTGTGAACGTCAGACAAATGATGCTGAACGTCACTGTCGCCTGCGTCCTGACAGGTGTCAAATAACAGCGATAAGACGCTTTCTGTGGTTGCTAGCACTTTGTCGCACAACGGTTGTAACGGGCAGTGGTGGACACCGAGTACAGCGCATGACCAAGAGTACTCATTTATTACGGTACTGACAGCGTAAATAGCAGCAACAGGTGTATGTCAAGCTTTTGCATCACAACCAGCTTAATTATTCAGAGACCTTTTTCCCTCGTAAGCTTATTCACCGAACCAGCTGCACGTTTCCTGATGGGTACCTGCGTCGAGCTGGACCATCATCTGCCGCGAATGGCGCAGCTCCATACTCAAGACTCGCATCAGGTATGGCGCCTGCATTTGGTTTGATAATCATATGGTCGTGGCGAAACTTTGCGTAAAATTAGCCGTGCTGCATCGATGCCGTGTGGTTGAAACCCATCAGTTGCTCGATGCTGAGAAGCTAAAATATGACGAAACAAGGCGATCGTCTTACCAGAATGAGGAAGTGGAATATTTTTATTTTACCAGTAGTGCTCTGTTGGGAAGTGGCAACGTTAATGAAGCGTTCATAGACTCAAAAAAGCCAGCATTTCTTCCGAGATAGGCGTCGTTGGAGTCAGGGAGAGAATACTAGACTGCTTTGGATTACGGAGAAATCCCTAGCCATTAGAGTGCAAAGGAATCAGGCAAAAATGACTACTTGCAAAGCAGCTCATTGCTGTCTCGTTCGTGCAGTCAGCTGGAGTTGCCGGCTGACGGTGAGCTTTTGTTGAAGGAAAACCAAAAAGTTCAGTAAGACAGCCAGAAAGAGGAAGTTGCGAACAGTGTTCAGAGGGTTCCAACGGATGTTAGGTAAGCAGGAGATTCAGTTTGTACTTATCCAAGACGCTCAGGTTGTCCCATTTGGAGGTCAGAAGGAACACTTCAAAAGATGGGCTGCGCGTTTTCAGCAGATGCTCGATGGCTGCACTCCAGATTCGTAATTCTCGACCCTTAATTCTCTACCAACACTAAAGGTTAGTACTGTTTCGCTCACAAAATTTTATATCACAGAAGCGTTGCTAAACCTGAGAGCGAAGATGCGAGGTGGTGGGTAGAATTCCTCCAGGGTAATTAAATATGGAAGGAGAACGGTTGAAAACTCCATGCCCTGTTTCATCAAATGTGTACCCACAGATGTTTCCCAGGAGAATGAGGAGTTGAGCAATTGTCCCTGTGTCTGAAAAGGCTGCGTGACCGAGTGTTCCAATTATTGTGTCATCATGCTACTGTTTGCTCCCGGTAACATTTTCTCCTATAGTATTCTTTAAAAGCTGAGATAAGCAATTGACGGGAGACTTTGCTTTAATCATGCAAGCTTCCGGGTGGTATACTCCTGCCCAACCAAATTTTCACTCTGCCTACGGTCATTGAGCAATGCCCACGATTCTGCTTTTCTCTTCTTTGAGGCTGTATTTGTTTC